AAGGATTAGCTGAAGAACCAGCAAAATGCATACCAGAGAGTTGTGCGGCGGATGTAGAGGTGATATGTTGAAAAGCATCAAGTTGACGGCGAAGACTTTCAATAGCTTGAATAGTAGAGTCTGAAGTAGTAGAAGGTATAGCATTGGCCAACAATCCTGGTGTACGAGAGGGTTGAGACTGAGGGGGTCGCCGACCACGTCCAGTACCTGAGGAACGTAACTCAGGATGAAGCTTGAAGCATGTCTCAATGCGGTGTCCTTCCTTCTTACAATATTTGCAAGAGAGCTTAGATCGAGCCTGTGGAGAGGGAGCCTGTGGAGAAGTATAATTCATAACAGGAGCAGTGACAGGTACAGACAAAACAGTCTCGAGTGAAGAGGTAGGAGTGTCTGTTGACAAATTGAGTCGTGCTGTCTGCTGCCGGGTCTCATAAGCAGTGAGAGCTCCCATAACTGAGGCCAAAGTCGGAAATTGAGGCTGGTGAAGTAGTTGATCAGCCATAGTTGAATATTCAGGAAGGGACTGAAACAATTGATGCACCTCATGCCGTTCGTACCAGGCTAGCCAGTCTTCATATGTGGAATTACGTCCAGGAAGCATGGAGCGTAACTCTGTCCAAAAAGCTTGCATTTGTCCAAAATGGGACTGCAGAGATGAACTACCTTTGCGTTGTAGAGAAATGCGTTGCAGAAGATATGCCTCCCGTGCACCCGAGCACTCAGTGAAACGCTCAGTGAGACGAGTCCACATGGCCTGAGCAGAGGGAAGCGAGCCAATCTCGACAGTGAGACCAGAGCCAACACAGCGAGTGAGATAATCCATAACACGAAATTCCTGCAATTGCCACTCTGAACTCTCCTTGACATAGAGAGCACGAGCAGTCTGAAGATCGACATCACCACTGCCAGAGGCAATAGTACTGGATGAAGCAACAGTGCTGATGGACGGTGGAACTGGTCCCGTACTGGTGAGATGATCAAGCAAACCAGCGCCACGCAAGGCATTGGTGACAATGGTGGACCACCCTGCCCAGTCACTTTGATCATTGAGGGGCAAAGGTGGTTTGGGAATCTTCTCTGAAGGAGCCATAACAGCAATCTTGAGACGTTAAGATGTCGAGATGCTGTTACTAATGTCGTTCGTTTGAGGCCGAGAGACGGCTTGAAACGACGATGCCGTTAATTTGAGACCGAGAGACGGTCTTGAAACGACAATGCCGTTAAAATAGAACCCGAAGGTTAGAATGAAACCCGAAGGTTTAAAATAGAACCCGAAGGTTAGAATGAAACCCGAAGGTTTAAAATAGAACCCGAAGGTTAGAATGAAACCCGAAGGTTTAAAATAGAACCCGAAGGTTAGAATGAAACCCGAAGGTTTAAAATAGAACCCGAAGGTTAGAATGAAACCCGAAGGTTTAAAATAGAACCCGAAGGTTAGAATGAAACCCGAAGGTTTAAAATAGAACCCGAAGGTTAGAATGAAACCCGAAGGTTTAAAATAGAACCCGAAGGTTAGAATGAAACCCGAAGGTTTAAAATAGAACCCGAAGGTTAGAATGAAACCCGAAGGTTTAAAATAGAACCCGAAGGTTAGAATGAAACCCGAAGGTTTAAAATAGAACCCGAAGGTTAAACGAGAACGCGAAACGCGTTAAGAGGCCGCAAAACGACAAGGCCAAAATATCTGGCAGATGAACGCCAAATAATTAAAAATAAAAATAAAAAATAAATAAAACATTAAACGGCTGCAAAGCAATAAGGCCAAGATTTGGCAAAAGAACGCAAAAGCGTTAAAAATTTTATTGAAAGGGAAATAGCCCTAGCTCTGATACCATGTTAAAGTAAGAGAGAGAGAGAGAATCTTGGGTAAATTTCCCTTGAATTGAATATTGAGTGTGCACATATATTTATACAAGTAGAGAAGTGTGAGGTTTGTTCTCCTAAGCAATGTGGGACTAAAACCCACTACAATACACTATTATCAACAATCATGAAGGTGCAACCCAACCAACCTCCAATTGTGTTGTTTGTTTAGAATACCTAATAGGCAAATACAAACACTAGACAAATAATATTAGGGATTGTTTGTAAATCATCATCAAAACAAAGGTACTAACATGTTTAACAATGAAATTCAATAAACATTAAGGGGTAAGATATTATAAAATTAGCTCAAAAGTTTCACATGAAAATTAGGGGAAACTTCACACATCTACTCCTCTATACAAATGAGAGAACCGAAAATTCACTATTCATGCTACAATAAATACTACAGTAATATTTATGGTAGTATAACTACTGTATCAAATAGGAACGGAGTACTATAGCATTTTAAAAATACCACTGTAACACACAGTAATGTTGTAGCATTTTTTAAAAACCATAGCAGAGGCAGGAACTGCAACAATTCAAAAAATTTAACAATATTACTGTAGCTTTTAAGAATCAGGATTACTGTAACGGGGAAAAAAATAATATGACAAGCTTTACACGGTGTTCACAACTAGTTTGTAGCTATGCTACCAACAACAAGTAAGGGTATATTAGTACAAATGGGGAAGTATATGGTATTTGAGTGCTAACTAGCATATGTGATACCTATGACCAATACCAACAGGTTGCGGGGGTATTATGGTAAGATCGTGACCCATCTGGGGCCGCGCATGGGACTTGCAGCTATAGTGTCGGATTAATCCATCGCGTAGATCAAGAGCTGCTCAAATGACCTTTATACCCCTAAGGCGCCGTAATCAAGACTGTACTAGGCTATTTTGGTCATTGACAAAGTCAGTTTGCGTCAGCTTTTTCTCATGCCAGTCTGCTCCTAGAACCAAGGCCTACAATCTCTCACGCTCATTACAGAATGACATTAATAGCCCTCCAATGACAGTACAACCAAAAAATAGGATAGGGATGATATAGTCATTCAAGGTAAAGATCCGGATGAGTTCGCACGAGCAACGAGGTAGTATCTTATCCGTAGGATAGACGGTCCGATGATTGGACGGCTTAGGATCGTTTTGAATGCTTTCGGCTTTTATATATGGGCTAGTTTTCTCCGGCGACGTACCCATTCACACGGGTCTGTTTGGTTGGTTTTTTTCTCGTAATTTTATCCGTCGATGTAAAAAAATGACATTTTATATTCCGTTTTGTTCTATTTAATAATAAAATAGTAAAGTTGAATAGATTTTCTGGTAACCTCTCATAACATAACGTAACATGAGTTTTCTGATATTTTAGAGCATCTCCAACAGCTTCTCCAAAATTTTCTCCAAAATGAAAAAACAAAAGTCATATTCTCTAAATTATTTTTGCTCCAACTCCAACAACTTCTCCATTTTGAAAAATCGTATTTATTACAATAATAAAGCTCTCCCCAAAAATTTGGAGAATGCTGCAGATTTGGGGAAGGCTCCCTATTTTTTCTCCTCCTTCCATATTTTGGGGAATGAGATGGGGACTCACATTTAGTCTTATAATGTTATGCTCCGTGACTGACAAAATATATTTTGTCGATGTTAACTATGATGATTAATTTGGGAAAATAATACACGACGACGGAAAATGATAACGAACACCTGGCCACTTGGCACTTGCGTGATGGGATTGATGTTTGGATGAATTATTATTGGAAGGATGGGTTCCAAAAATCATTGTTGCATGATAGAGCGAAGCTTCGCTTATAAGTTATGTCTTCGGCTTATTTATAAAATGTGTTCGGTCACACATAATGAACATAATCATCCGTTAATATCCGCAGTTTCGCTGGTTTGCCTTCAAAAACGTGCTTACGATAGAGAGAACTTAATTCGGAGCTAGCTTACTTAGAGTAATTTTCTAGCGGTTAATAAGAGAGAAGAAGAGCGTGCCAACCATCCGAACAACCATTAACATCATCTAATTCCCGACCCCAAGCTTATGAAGAATTGCTAAATATAGTATAGCTCGGTGGTGACTTATGACCCGTCCAAAGAGATTTTTGACCCGTCCAATATGAATACGGTTCGAAACTTGACCCAGATTTTGAAAGATGTTTTTATAAAAACTCTTAGGGCGCGTTTGGATGCTTGTTTTTGAGAGGGTTTTGGGGGTGAAAACCCGCCATTTTGTCAGAAAATGACAGGCTTTCACCAAAAAAAAAGAAAAACATCCAAACTCGCCCTTAACATCTTCCGCCTTGATAGTTTTAAATTTGGAATTGGATTTTCCGCGTAATTGGTGGGGGGAAAAAACCCCTCTTTCGAACGTTTTAATTTTCCAATAAAGTTTTCTATTTCAATGCTCATCACTAAACAAAAGGCCTTCCTCGGTCATTTTCTTCTCTTTCTCAGACAATACCTCTTACCAACATCGAAAGCCTTACTATTGAATATTTCATATTTTCACCCACCAAGAAAGATCAATAGACTCAACAACTCATCAAATATTTGAGCCAGGAGAGGAATTTTCTTAGCAAGTGCTTAGGTAAGTTCTAAGTAAATATAAATTCATTTACAGCTTGATCATTTTTCAGAGCTCCAGAATTGTGAGTTTTCTTTTATAAGAATATTCTTTACAAGGACCCAGGCTTGATATTGCGGCATCTTGTGCACAACTTTAATTAAAGAATCAGGCTTAACATGAATAGTGGACCCACCTAGATGTACAAAACATAGTCATCAAGCATAATCCAAGTCTGTATTGCAACATTATAATTACAAGTAAATCAATCAGAATCCTACATTTAACTTTTTTTTTTAAAAAAAAGTTAAAAAAGCAATCAATCAATTAAGGAATAGGCTATATAAAAAGACCATTGTATTAAAATAAGATAATAGACTTATTTGTATGGACATCATAAGACTTCATGGAGCAATATGCATGAGAACAAATAACCGTACACTTTAATTATGGAACACTAGAAAGATTCATATGGAAAGAGATATTCTATATCACGATTCACAGGCTACTCAAAATTTTCATTACCAAGCTTTATAGTCAAGATTTGCAAAGGAAAATAAAAGAAAAGAAAGTCCAGCACACGCTTTAATTATAAACTTTCTTAAATCCCCATATTTCTCTAATCAATTCTGCATAAAAAGGTCTAAAAAGCCCTGCTAAATAAAATCGCAGGGATTTATTTTTTCCAATCCTAGGACCCCTGATTAGCTAATGAAGTACAACTCCATAAGCTAAGAACTAAGTTCATTAGCGTCCTCAAACCAGCAAATAGAAGATACTACTAGAATGCAAACTAAATAGAAATTCAACACTAAGGTTTGCTCAACACCAAAGCAAACGAGCTAAAAGTAAATAAAAGTTAAAGAATTCTTGGTTCACTCTTTAAAATCATCCTTGTCATCGATTGGAATAGGCTTGTTCCTCCAGAAAACAGCGAGAGCGCTTCCTCCAAGCTATCAAAAAAAAAAAAAAGAAAAAAAGAAAATGAAGTGTCAAAATGTTGTAAGAGAAAAGATGAAATGATAACTAAAATTGTCTAGTTAATATTGTTTATTTTGATTTTGGATCGACTACCATTCTAGCCTTGAATTTTTAGAAGAGATGAAATGGGATATTCATATTATGTTATGTGCTTTCTTGGTATCCCTACTATAGGGTTACTAATGAAAGTGGATGAGTGGGAGGGGGGGAAAAGGAAGAGGAGAAAGAAAAGAAAAGTTTTGTTCAAAGTTGCACAAAAATAAAAATGAGATTATTTCGGTGCTCTATTTATAATCCATACCGCCATACAAACAACACTGACAGCGGAAGGAACTGCAACAAGAGGATTTGTGAAGTGCCTCTGCGCTAGTAGAAACCCAAGTGCAGAACTCTGTAGAAAAAAATTGTCATAGTATATCAATGATCTAATATTTATTTTAAGGTATTATTGCTAGGCTCATGATGGATCATATTATGTTTAATTTATGTTCTTACTGTTATAAGAAATATACAAGAATTTCTAATTCATCATATAGTTTTTCAGCAACAAATTTCATCCTTATAAAATGTATTTTTCAATCACTATAGTTACTTTATATAGGAAGAAAGTGATTCATTGTTTTTCACCATTTGATACCTGGATGTTATAATGAAGGAACACAATCAGCCCCACAATAATTGAGGCAATGTTAGTTACTTTGTTTTCTTCATTTTAATGATTGGTGATGATACAAACAACAGAAATCATGAAAATGGAGGCTAACATTGGCTTCAGTTATGATATTGTTGATGACACTTCAGACATTATAATTAGCCAGAAGCTGTGGATATTAATATTGTAATATATTTCTATTAAATATTTGTGAGCAACCAGAAATCCTTAGCAAAGCACAGCAGTTTCCAAATAAGATATACTTTATATTATGATTGACAATAAAATATATATTTCTGGTATTCTAGAGTAAACAGAAATGCCCCTGAGGTGTTTCTAAGACAAAAAATGTACAGAGAGAGAGGAAAGTTAGAGAGAGAAGAATGAGAAAAGAAAGACAAAGAGAGAAAACTTACTTTCTTTACATTTTACTAATTTTAGGGCATTTTTAGATTTCAGGAAAGACAAGAAAATGAAGGGTTGCTGTTAACTAAGGGGCGAAATTTTAGAAGTTTAACTATTAAGGGGATTTCCACATTATAGAGTCAGTTTGGCCTTATTTCTCATAGGAGGCAACATTAGCTTTGTCAGTGCTTCACCTTTTATTGCTCTCTCGGTGCATATTAGGCTGCAGACTTTTACCTTTACAACATGCAGCCAGTTTACTTCCAAAATAAATGGATTCCAACCCATATAACTTAATGTGAATCAAGTCTAGATTCGAAACTCAACAGATTTCAATAACCACACCTAATAAAAAAATTGAGTTTCACTCCACGACTGTTCAGGTTCATGGAGCGGAACAAATCAGAGCTGAAGTCCCATTTCCATTGACTTACTACTGTCAAGTTATCTATCCATACTTTTGAAACAAACAAAAAAACAGTAAGAAAAATACAACAAAATTTATAATATACCCATTTAAATTTTAATTGTGTGTGAATTGCACATGGCCAATTCTAGTACTAAAAATTTGCTGCTTGATCGAACCATCAAGTGTGTTTTAGATGTGAGTTGCCCAAGCATAAATATCCTAGTATATAGAGATTAAATATATGCATAAAAGAACAGCTAAGCTTGTAATAGTTATAAAACGAGTTGGTATACTACCTAATGCTTCCATATTACTTAATAAACAAGTAGGAGTAGATCAATATAAAGGTGGTACCTGCATTCCACATTCTATGGAAACTGTACGAGAAGTGGATTCACCAAAAGTTGAAAACCTGGAAAGCCAGTAACCAAGAGCAAATGCAGCAGCATGTAGAAGAGCCACAGGAAGTATAAGTTGTCCCCCTTGCGCCTTCAGAACTTCTGATACTTGACCAATCTAAAAGCACCAATGACACAAGTGGAGATTATTTTCGAGATTTAAGCCGAATTCCAAGTGGACAGAGAAGAAACGAGCAAACCATAAACAACAGGCTATTTGCACTTACATGCCCCAAAGTTTATTTCATTTTTAACTTTGATACCCAAAGTTTTTTATTTGCCCAAGAATTTTTTTTGTTAAAGTTCAAAAATATTCAAGTTTGATGCCCAACGTTTTTCTTGCCCAAACAAGTACCCAAAGTTCAAATTTTAACTTTTATACCTCAAAGTTCAACAAAATTTGAACTTTGATGCTCCAAAGTTCAACAAAATTTAACATTGATACCCCAAAGTTCAACAAAACTTAACTTTGATATCCAAATTTAAATTTCTTGTCAAATTTTTATTAAGTTTGGGGAATCAAAGTTAAATTTTGTTGGGACTAGGGATGTTTTTTTGGGAGGCAAAACTCTGGGTATCAAAGTTAAAAATAAGGTAAACTTTGGGTTATTCTTTCAGGGGGAAAAACTTTGGGGTACCAAAGTTAAAAAAATGAGTAAACTTTGGGGTGTTTAAGTGAAAATAACCCAGCAAATAAATAAAGCCAAAACTAGAACCCAATGAGCTAATTAAGGCTCTGTCTTAATGAATATCCAGTAGTCCTTACTAAGTCTAATCATAATAGCATCTTGGTTCACATAATACAATTCTACAAACTTACAGGGCTTGCACAAAGAAGAGTAGTAAGCATAACCCCGATCAATGGCGTGAGTGTGATTATTCGCCCAGTGAATTTGGGGAAGTACTCATGTAACAACACTGCCACAAAAAATTATAGATTCTTCATGGACACAAATGTCAAGAATAAGATGGTTTATAATAAAAGAAAGGACGAGTATCTTAAAACATAACTTTGATAAAAATATCTAATTACCTCCAACGATAGTTGGCAATAGGACGACCTGGAAAGTGCTGAGGGCCAAGCCCTAAGAAAAAATGGAAAATTGATTATATTTATTATACCATGAGAAATATGATGTAAGAACTAATTAGCTATGATGCTCTTACCGCAGCATCAACCGGAACAAGCTGCCCAGCAAGGAGCTTTGTAAGGAGCGGGGTCATGATGATTGCACCAATTGTTGAACAACTGAAATATTTCAACCGATTCTTAGATTATGAGACTCTTAAATGTTCAAATTTGAGAAGCAAACCAATAGATGAATTCTAGCATGAATCTGACAAAGACAATACCAACACTACCAAATCCCAGCCGCAAATTCAAATATTTGATTGCAAGTTTAAGAGCTTATGCATAACATTAAGGTGACCTAATTTGCTTGACTTTGTTATTTATTAAGTATATATCAACAATTTGGTGGGGGAACCATATAAAAATACAGTCCAACTATCCAAAAAAGTAATAAACTATCAACAGTAAAAATGTGTATATTAACACATTCAAATATTGTTCGGAAATGAATGACAAATACGGTACAAAAAGTTCATAATATATATTAAAGAAAATGACAAAGAAACAATATAATTATAAAGTAGTAGTAACCAAATGAAAGACGATATTCACTGCAAATGAAAAATCCTAATGAAAAGTCAATGCAACCCTTGCAGGAATCTCGCGAAAATAACTAGGTTGTCAAAAATAGGGGAAAAGGTCGAATTGAGTGCGGTCTGGATCCCAACACCATGTAGCTTATCTAAAAGAATTAGCAGCCATTTACAGCATGCCAGGCTGAAATTTAGAAATACTTGGCCAATTAGGCAAGTTTTGCTAAAACTCTACAGCAATAATATTGATGATTATGATGACAAGTGAACCCTCCTAGTTATACTTTGGCATCTTGATATGTTCTGATTGTAAGCAAATAAAATCATAAGGAAATCTAATGTGAAAAAAACTAATTATGGGAGATCAAACAGCTGCTCACGTTGTCATCAGAACTGAGAGCGCAACATTTCCTTTGGATATGTAAGTTGCAACATTTGATGCCTGACCACCAGGGCAGCACGAGACTAAAATAAGACCGGTTGCAAGAGGGGCAGACAATTTTAAAGTCTGTAAACAAATTGAGATCGGGTTAGTATGAGAAGCGCATGGCAGATACAGACAGAACAAAATAAATGGTGCTAACTTGCAGACTGTTAAAATTACCATCTCATAGTGTCACTGTTTCTTACACTGCAATTAATATGTACCGATTTTAACAAAATGTTACAGATCTTTTGCCATATTATCCCCTGCATGTATCAATCAATGCACACGTACATCTCGGGCAAAATCGACTTTGGCCCCATATAGACTCTGTGGTATTGTGCTGATACACACATGAGCCTTTTAGTATACATTGGTTCTGTTGGGCGCGGAATCACGCCCTCACGCCGCGGAAGCAATATCATCTGAGAGATAGCCCTTGTTTTTGTTGTCACAAAAGCACAAATCAACCTCTATATTCTTGTTTCTCAAAGGAAACTAGAATAGATAGTGAAATTCTTGTTTCTCAAAGGAAACTAGAATTGAAAGTGAAATATTTCAACAAAGTGAAATATACTCTTCATCTCATCGGTTCTAAGACTGAAATGTCGAGGGAACCTACAAGCAATGTCAAACACACAGTTAAGACAATACAGACACGAAATTTACGTGGTTCGGCAAAGTTGCTTACATCCACGGGAAGGGGTTTTTACTATAAGAAGAATACTAAACTATTACAAGTTCTCTCTCAACTCACTCTCTCTTTTCTTTCAAACTTCACTTAAACCCACACTCCAAAACTCCTCCACCCCTTCTCTATTTATAGGAGAGAACATGGGGGGGCAAATCCAAAATTTAGGCGAACTCTCGCGGGCGGGTCTGTGGGTTCCCCCATCCCCCGCGTTCACAATTCTTCACCTCGTACATAATTTGATAAACCTCAAATTTTGGACAAACACCAGAAGAATACCGCGAACTCCAAACCAGGCCAAAGCCAGGCCACACCAGCTGTACCACTATACCACGACTGCCTACGTACCCTCCACCGTAGTTCTAAACCAGTTGCACCATTTTACCATGGTTGCCTACGTACCCTCCACCGGGATCAAGCTAACCGTAGTTCTACAACTATTTACCAACATAGTCTCCATCACACCCCATTACCGCCCCCACAGGGCCATATCCTCACGGACAAATCAACACGGGCTGATATGAAGCAAGTCCAAGTAATGTTGGAACTTGCTGTCTGTCACCACCTTGGTTAACATGTCTACGAGATTCTCATTCGTGTGCATCTTCATGAGAGAAATATCACCTTCCTCTATGACATCCCGCACAAAATGATATCTGACGTCGATATGCTTGGTATCAGCATGGTGAACTTGATTCTTCGCTAAGTGAATCACACTTTGATTGTCGCACCACAAGTTCACGCTCTCCTGCTCAATCCCCAAATTGTCTAGAAGACTCCACAACCACAATGCTTCCTTCACTCCCTCTGTCATGACCATGTACTCGGCCTCTGTAGTAGAAAGTACCACTGTAGCCTGTAACATCGATTGCCAACTAACTGGAGCCCCATATATGCTGAATATATACCACTAGTAGATCGCCGTTTATCTAGATCGCCCGCATAATCTGAGTCCACAAACCCGTCGATCTGACATGTATCTCCACTAAAACACAGACCTGTATCCGCGGTACCTTTCAAGTACCTCAGAACCCATTTCACCGCTTCCCAATGTGTCTTTCCCGTATTCGCTATGAACTTACTGACGACACTGACCGCCTGTGAAATATCTGGACGTGTACACATCATGACGTACATCAAACTGCCAACTGCACTAGTATAAAGAACACGTTCCATGTGTGTCTTATTTTCCGCTATAGTGGGAGATTGTTTTCCTGAAAACTTGAAGTGTGGAGCCAATGGAGTCGCCACCGACTTTGCACTTTGCATCCCGAATCTAGCGATCACCCGCTCTATGTAGCCCTTCTGACTCAAGAATAATTATCGATTCGCCCGCTCTCTTCTAATCTCCATACCCAATATTTTTTTAGCAACACTCATGTCCTTCATCTCAAACTCTTTACCAAGTTGAGATTTCAACATATCTATCACCACCTTACTTTTTGAAGCAATAAGCATGTCGTCCACATACAAAAGAAGATAGATATAATCACCTTCACGAAGCTTTCGAATATAGACGCAACAGTCATACTCGCTTCTGGAGAACCCATGCTTTAGCATGAAGGAGTCAAATCGCTTGTACCACTGCCGAGGAGATTGCTTCAATCCATAAAGTGATTTCCTCAAGTGACATACATGATTCTCCTTATCCTTAACCTTGTAACCCTCAGGCTGATGCATATAGATTTCCTCCTCCAAGTCTCCGTGCAAGAAGACCGTTTTGATATCGAATTGTTCCAGCTTAAGAACACCATGAGCAATAATACTCAATAGCACCCGAATAGAAGTGTGTTTTACCACCGGAGAATATATCTCATTGTAATCCACACCCTCTTTTTGTGCAAACCCCTTAGCCACTAGCCTCGTCTTGTACCTTGTACCACCGATCTCTGAAGGATCTTCTTTTCTTTTATACAGCCACTTACAACCTATAGCTTTTTTTCCTACGGACAATGAGACCACCTCCCATGTTTGGTTCTTCCGGAGAGATTTCATCTCCTTCTCCATCGTAGCCAACCTTCTCTCTCTATCTCTATCCTGAATAGCTTCCTTGAAGGAGACCGACTCATCTTTCTCCACCGAGAGTGCGTACTCAATCAAATTAACCTGTCCATAGTGCTTTAGGAGTTGATCAGCCCCAGCTTCTGTACCTGCTTGTATCTCGTCTTAGCCTAGTGATAGCCAAGCTATCTTCGAGTTGCTGTTGTTATAGTACTTGTGTATTATCCTGCTGAACCTCCTCCTGCTCAAACTCATCATCTACCTGATTTCCCACTTGAACACGACTAGAACCTGGTTGGTCTTTAGGTTCTATATCAATAACCTGAGACTTAGAATTCCCAACAGTCTCAACACCATCATCCTTGGGTACCCTAGCAATCATGGACTTCTCGTCAAAGATAACGTCCCTGCTGATTACGAACTTTGAATCTTCTGTACACCAAAGACGATAGCCTTTTACACCCTTTACATACCCCAAGAAAATTACCTTCTTAGCTCTCGCGTCAAGCTTTCCCTCGTTGACGTGATAGTAGACGATACACCCGAAGATTCGGAACCTCTTATAATTTACATGCTCCCCTGACCACACCCGATAGGGTGTATCATCATCTAATGTCGAATGTGAAGAACGGTTCACTATGTAACAAGCTGTAGCAACCACTTCTGCCCACCATTCCTTGCCCAAACCAGCATATGATCGCATGTTCACTGCTTTCTCCCGCAGTGTTCGGTTCAGTCTTTCCGTGACCCCATTTTACTATGGTGTAGATCTAACTGTCCAGTGTCTGGCAATCCCCTTCTGATCACAGAACTCCTTGAAGGCACCATCTGTATACTCTGTACCGTTATCGGATCTTAATGTCTTTAATTTCTTTCATGTCTTGTTCTCAACCATCACCTTTCACTTCTTGAATGTCTCAAATACCTCAATCTTGTGCTTCAGAAAATAAATCCAAGCATATCTCGAATGATCATCTATGAATGAGACAAAATATCTGGAACCACCATTGAAAGGTATCGAAGCCGGACCCCAAACATTTGTGTGCACGTAATCTAGTATCCTTCTGCTCTTGTGACTACTTGTCAGGAATCAGACCATATGTGCCTTTCCATACACACAATCCTCCGCAAAAATTCATGCAAGGCTTCTTCAGATTCTTCAATAAACCATCCTTACCGAGTAAATCTAGACCCTTCTCTGATATGTGCCCAAGCCGTATATGTCATAACCGTGTGCGCTCACATGAGTCTCCACCACTTCCATCAGTTCCAACAGCTGCATCTCCCGTCACCGTCGTACCCAAGAGAGTATATAGGTTGTCGTGACGAATGTCTTTCATCGCTACTAAGGAACCCCGAACAACCTTCTTTACTCCGTTCTCTGTTATAATCTTGCAACCCCGGAGTCCAAAGCACCAACTGCGATAAGATTCTTCCGCAAGTCGGGAACGTGCCTTACATCCGTCAGGGTTCGAATCACTTTATCATACATCTTGATCTTGATATCGCCTAGCCCCACCGTTTTACAAGCATGGTTGTTTCCCATTAATACGGTTCCACCATCAATGCTCCTGTAGGTAGTAAACAACTTTCTATTTGGACATATGTGGTAAGAGCAACTAGAATCAAGTATCCACTTTCCGAAGGTATCCTCGTCACTCTTGACGATGTAACATTCCTTGTCGCTCCCTTCCCCTGAAGCGTAACTCGTCTCTTCCTTGCTTTCTCGTCTTTCAGTCTTGTTGTTGTTCTTCTTCCCACCTACTCTCTTATTAGGACAATTGACTTTAAAATATCCTAGCTCACCGCATTTGAAACACGATCTTTCTGCAAGAGGTCTTGATTTTGATCTAGACTTTCCTCCCTTATATTTTTCTCGCTCATTGCCCCTTCCTCTGGCAAAAAACCCCTGCGCTTGTTCTTTGTTACCATCAGTGGTCATATCACTAGTTGTAATTTTTTGAAGATCATCCGCTAGAAGTGTCATTCTAGTCTCATCCATCGACAAACTGTCACCCATAAGCATCAGTGTTTGAACCAGATTCTCATAAGACTTCGGCAGAGATAGAAATAGTAGAAGTGCCTGATCCTCATCTTCCACTGTTACCTCAATGTCTTTCAAATCCGATAAAATCCTATGGAACTTGTTGATGTACTCCGGATTGACGAGTCTTCCTCCATCTTGTAAGTATACAATTTGGATTTTAAATAGATCCGATTCGTTAGGCTCTTCGTCATGAAGATGCTTTCTAACTTCAACCACACGCCCGTAACCGTTACCTCTCCATCTATCAAGAAAGCTACATCCCTTTTAAGATAAAGGATAATCGACGTCCGTGCTTCCAGATCCAGCTCCTCCCAATCCTCATCAGACATATCCTTGTGCTTTTTCTCTTTTCCCGGTAAAGCCTTATGCAATTTCTGCGAAATTAGCGAATTTTTTATCTGCATCCTCCAATAGAAAAAATCATTCTTCCCATTGAATTTCTCGATCTCATACTTTTTAACTTTAACTGTTTTACTTGTAGACGTCATTCTCCGCTTGTATTAATAAATCCAATTCTCTCAGGAATTTTAACAAATACCTTGTGTTCACCACACAATAGTCAACCACCACCTCAGATCAGTAGCTCAACCACCGTTAATCTGAAAAAAGAGTTTTGATACCAATTGTTGGGCGCGGAGTCACGTCCTTACGCCGCGGAAGCAATATCACCTGAGAGATAGCCTTTGTTTTTGTTGTCACAAAAGCACAAGTCAATCTCTATATTCTTGTTTCTCAAAGGAAACTAGAATAGATAGTGAAATTCTTGTTTCTCAAAGGAAACTAGAATAGATAGTGAAATTCTTGTTTCTCAAAGGAAACTAGAATTGAAAGTGAAATATTTTAACAAAGTAAAATATACATTCTTCCTCTCATCAGTTCTAAGACTGAAATGTCGAGGGAACCTACAAGCAATAACAAACACACAGTTAAGACAATACAGACACGAGATTTATGTGGTTCGACAAACTTGCCTATATCCACGGGAGGGGGTTTTTACTATGAGGAGAATACCAAACTATTTCAAGTTCTCTCTCAACTCACTCTTTCTTTTCTTTCAAACTTCACTTAAACCCACACTCCAAAACTCCTCCACCCCTTCTCTATTTATAGGAGAGAACATGGGGGGGCAAATCCAAAATTTAGGCGAACTCTCGCGGGCGGAAATTGCGGGCACGCAGGGATGAATCTCACGCACGAAACTGCTCGCGCGAACTTGACGACAGCGCGAGAAGACGCCCACGAACTCGTCGTGGGCGTGGGATGGGCACGCACGTCGGTGGGTCCCCCCCATCCCCCGCGTTCACAGGTTCACATATACAGTACTAGATATTTGCATATATTTTAAACTTTTTTCCATTAGCCTATAGCATTACCATTTTGCATGCATTTCTCTGTGTCCTACTATAATACAGAAAGACTGGAAAAATTATAACATTAGATGTTAAGGGCTCATAAGTTTTAAATTATCAACCCCTATAAATTCCCCCATTTTGCATTGAATGAGGCCTGTAATTTTGGATGGCTATTTACTTCGGCAAATGATCGTCTACTTACATACCCCACAAGTATTAGTTTTACGTATAGCACCACTATTAACTGATTGCTATACTTTGCACATATAAACAGATCCCTTTCCTGCACAAGTCAATGTACACTAGAGTCAAACAAGATAATAACATCCGCATGCTATTCGCAGCACTAGCACACTTCTATACATCCACCTTTTTCAGATACTTTTTACTTTGTCTGCGTTTACTATATATAGTGATGGTATTGCAGGTTTTGGATACAACTATGAATAATTTGAGCAAACTCCAATCAATCTAGAATATATACACCAGTCTCATATGTAACAAAAGCATAATAATCAGTGAGGTATTATGGTGCTCTCCTGACATCAACATATCCGGGGCATCATGAACTTGTATCAGGTGATGTATCGTACCAGACTAAATTCCTTTTCTTGGTTTAGTTACTTAACAGAAAATGGTAATCTAAATTAATGAAAAAAAATTCCTTTCTATCTAATAAAGCATGTCCTAGTCATGATGGGTTTAGATGCACAATATGCGCAGACATGTGAACACGCATATATCATATATTGTCAGGTTGTCAAGTTCCTATTTCTTATTTCATAAGGATTAACAACGCGTCCATGTCTTCATGCTTCCTAGTGTACATATATAAGAGCTGCATATCTTATCACAATTCCATTTGATTAAAAAACTTTCACAACTATCACTATGCAACACCAAATCTATCATTTTATTTCAGCTAGCCAATTGTAGTTATCATTGAGTAATAAATTCTAAAAAAGAGAACAACTAGAGGAGAGTAATAAACAACTAAGTTGAATCTCTACATACAATGCCTGCATCCATAAAACCTGTATGTACATGTCTAATAAACAACTAATATGAAGCTAAGGATGTAAATATTCATAGTTTTGAGTGTGGTATGGAATAACTAGAGAGAGTACAGATTTATTGTTCAGTGCCCTAAGCTAGCAGATATTTACCATTGCAATGAAGAACCCAAGCATTGGTTTGATTAGATACTGTGCAAGAAATCCTACACCCACCTGCATTGTGGGAAACACAAATCACATAGTCAACAAACATTCCTTTTTTAAAACAAGTGTTAAGTTAATACTTCAGTAGGTATAATTTCTTACAGTCCATGGATTTCTCATACATCTCTTGAAATCCTCAAAGGTCAATGTGAGACCCATTGAAAGCATGAGGAAACCCAAGCCAACAGTGAAAAGGTCTGTTTCTAACCAAGTAACCTGAAGGATGGGCCAGACATTCATTAGATAGTTAAACTGCATCCTATTTCAGAATAAGAAAGGAAGTTAAAAGATAAATACATGCTAATAGATTAAATAATGCTAGTGTTATGGCCTTACCGCTGATGGCTTGTATATGCCTATGACTGTGCCTAAGATGACCTGCCACGCAAAAAAGGTATATGTATATATGAAGGATGTCTTAAGTTGAATACTAGTCCTAAAAATTTCACCATTATTATAAGGGTTAATAGCATACACCCCCATGTATGGTGTTGTAGCCACTTATACCCCCTACACTTTTTTATTAGTTCTTAAGCCCCCTGAATCTCAGACAAGGTTACTTTTTTGCCCCTTTATTTTTAGGAGAAAAAGGAAATTTATCATCATGTGGTTCCCACATGCCATCTCTACCTAACTTGGGATATTAACATCTGGAGTTCAGGAGGTGTAAATGCTAATAATATGTAGGGGGTTATGTTCAATTAGCCGTTGTTGTAAAGAGTAATATAAGTAGAGCTATGAGCAGCTAGCAACATACCCAAACAGGGAAAAGGGTAGTGAGCAATTCGACAATTCTTTCGTATTGGCTCATCTCTGCAGGCGCACTGCTAGGAACATCTCCAGATAAATTTGCTTCAGCTTTGCACAAAAATTGTTGAGACCTGAATATTTAACATCAGTAGAAAATCTAAGTATGTGTTAAGTCCGACAAATTTGCTTAAGCTTCACACAACAGGCCTACGAAGCATAAATGGTAGTATTTTGAAACTTCCTTGTAATATTTTATATACTTCCACAGTCCTTAGTTCCTTGTGATTTAGTAAAAGGAAAATTATAGACACTCAAACCAGATATTATTTGCCCCAAGAACAAGTCGGTTCTTGCATACAAAACAAAAATTCATGAAGATAAGTTCAATTATTTAAAGTCGACTACTTATGCAGGGCTCTTGATACTTACATCACCCTGAACTCTAAACCTAAACAATTGCAATTTTCCTTTGCTTACTCTACATATTTGAAGCACATTTTAACTAGCCAAAAAATCGGAAAGAAAAATACTAGATCCTCGGAAGAGATTTCTTCAACATTACTAAATTAAACTAATAAAAAAAATTCCTCTATGATCCTTACTAAATTTCCTCTATGATCCTTACTCAATCATGATATTTATATTCCCCAATTCAAATTCCATTACGTTCTCATCTCAACATTCAAACATCTAAATTACGAAATCCAAACAAATTAAGAAAAATAAAAGCAGCACCTGTGAACTGGAACAAGAGACAAAGCCTTTGATGAAACAACGGCAGCACTCAGAGCTCTCCTTTCCCCAGCTGCCAAAAACCCACCTCCAATATCTAATCGTCATCATCATCAAAAACAAAAAAATTACCCAAACATCAAACTGTTACACAAAAAATAAAAAACCCATTACAGGAAAACAAAATACCAGAATGGGTCTGGACTCTTCTAGCAGGAGAGCAAGGGGCCCGAGCGTAGAGGCCATTGATCGCTAGAGATGACCAATCTTTGTGGACGAATCGAGACATGGAAGCCACTGAAGAGGCCATAGTGAGCTGCTGATGGAGCTCCCCAAAGACTGGACTTTTTTTGGGGTCGTGGATTCCAAAGAAGCCACACACACTATGGGTTGAATTTGGGAGTGCTGTGGATTAGGGGGGGCGTTTTATAGGGGTCGAGAGTTGGGGGAGTGAGTTTAATATCTGCCGCCGATTTTGTTTTGTGTATAAAATGGACGGTGGAGATTGAACTTTAATTTCAACTTTCTAGTGAGTACTTTTGATGTATTTTCCTTTTTTTTACCCGTGAAGTTCAATTATTTTAAGGGAAAATTGTGTGAAGGCCCCAAAATTAATAACTTCATGTGCTACAGCCTCTTTAACTTTTTCTCAGCATCTTTAATTTTTTCTCATGTACTGTAGCTCTTAAATTGGAGATCTATGCGCTGCAGTCATTCTTTAGTAATTATCCCCTGCCAACTAAACATAGTGAGAGAATAAAAAATAAAAAATCCCAAAATATCATCATCATCTCTTCTATTATTTTCTCTCTATATCTAATGGTCATGGCTCCCCATACCTCCTCTTTTCTAACGCATCTCCTTCCTCCTCTCCCCATCTTCCTCATTTTTCTCTAAGACACTGACATCCCCCTTCGTTACCACCGAACTTAGGTGCATGCTCCAGCGATATTGTTGATCTAAGGGTATATATTATATAGAAAAAACTCAATATGATTCTTTTTTGTTCTCCCACTAATTTTCCCCACTCTCTTTCTTTTCCCCCCAAAACCAAAACAAGCCCAAATTTGATCGGTAATGGCAATTGCAATGGTGAAACCCTCGAATTTGTCAAAGTTCTCGTCGGAGGATCCGTCAAACAACATATTGGTATCCGACACTGAAGGCGAAGAACGAGGTGGAGGAGACAATGTTGGAGGAGGACGAGGAGGAGCTCGTGTGTTAAGTCTAATAAAATTCGTAATTTCTGTTTGAACATCATGGAAAGACAAAAATTTAAAGAAATGTCGGCTAAGTATGATTTTTTTGATAATTTTTTATGTTAAGTTCAAATCCAAGGTGAAACATTAAGTCTAATGAGTTGAAAGTGAAGTCCAATGGCTTGTATACTAAGTTTATTGGGTTGAATAATAAGTCCAAGAGATTGTATGTTAAGTCTATTGGGTTGAATAATAAGTCTAATTATTGAATATTAAGGGCAATGGATTATATGTTAAGTCCAATTTGGTTCATGTTAAGTCCATTTCGGCTCATGTTAAGTCCAATTTGATTCATGTTAAGCTCAATTTAGTTCATATTAAATCCAATTTAAATCATGTTAAGTCCAATTCGATTCATGTTAAGTACAATTTGGTTTATATTAAGTCCAATTCGGTTCATGTTAAGTCTAATTTAAATTATGTTAAGTCTAATTCAACTTGTTTTAAGTCAAATTTCATGTTAAGTCCAATTTAAATCATGTTAAGTCTAATTTAATTCCTTTTAAGTCAAATTTAAATAATGTTATGTCTAATTCAACTTGTTTTAAGTTTAAAAACAAGTTGAACTAGACTTAACACGAATCATGTTAAGTCTAATTCAAATTCTTTTAAGTCTAATTTTATATTAAGTCTAATTTGATTCATGTTAAGTTCAGTTTGATTCATGTTAAGTCTAATTTAATTCCTTTAAAGTCTAATTTAAATCATGTTATGTCCAATTTAACTTATTTTAAGTCTAAAAATAAGTTAAATTAGGCTTAACATGAATCATGTTAACTATTTCAACTTATTTTAAGTCTAATTTCATGTTAAGTCCAATTCGGTTCATGTTAAGTCCAATTTAAATCATGTTAAGTCCAATTTGGTTCATGTTATGTCCAATTCGGTTCATATTAAGTCTAATTTAAATCATGTTAAGTCTAATTCAGCTTGTTTTAAATCTAATTTCATGTTAAATCTAATTTAATCCATGTTAAGTCTAATTTAATTCATTTTAAGTCTAATTTAAATCATGTTATGTCTAATTCAACTTGTTTTAAGTCTAAAAATAAGTTGATTCTAATTCAAATTATTTTAAGTCTAATTTCCTATTAAGCCCAATTTGATTCATGTTAAGTCCAATTTGATTCATGTTAAGTTCAGTTTGATAAATGTTAAATTCAATTGAACTCATTTTAAGTCTAATTTAAATAATATTATTTCTAATTCAACTTGTTTTAAGTCTAAAATCAGGTTGAATTAGGCGTAACATGAATTATGTTAAGTCTATTTCAACTTATTTTAAGTCTAATTTTATGTTAAGGGTCTGTTCGTTTGCCTTAAAAAAATGGGAAATCAAAGAAATAGAAAACTATTTTTAAGAAGAATTGTTTTGGGAGTGTTTGGTTTGCTAAAAAAAAGGAAATCAAAGAAATGAAGATAAGATGAGATGAGTTGTCATCTTATTATAGGATGATGTGAGTGTTTTTTTAAGAAAACTTGTTTTGAGATTTCTTGGTTGGCGAAAAAAATAAGGAAATGAATTATAAGAAACCTATTTCTTGTAATAGGTTGTTTTCTTTTGTTTGGTTATTTCTGTTAGACCCTAGAGGGGGGTGATTAGGGTCTTATGCTAATCTAATCCGATTTTATGCCAATTAAAATTAATTAACAAATATATTATTGCAAGATAGATATACAAAGAGTTATGTGCAAGAAAATGCAATATACACAAGGTGATATATCCTAGCAAAGAGGTATACTATATGATATATGCAAGGATATGCAAATACAAGGGTAACATAAACAAATGATATAGTGGATGAAATAAACAATGAGAGAAAGGCTATAAAGATGAACAAATATAAGTGTGCTAAGCCAAACTCAAACAAACAATATGATTACGGAGTTTGGACCTTCCGTCCTACGTATCCGCTCCCCACTCCCGGGGAGAAATCCACTATCATAATCCGGTTTGGAAGCCGGAACTTCTACACACTCGGTTTATAAGCTTACCGAAAACTCTCACACAACAAATACTATGCAATCACACTCTACACCCTCACAAGTGTTGGACCTAGCCGTGTCTCCCTCAAGTGCTCGGTTACAACCTCTCTCTAGGTTCGTCAATTGACGCCACTCCTCTTGGGACGATCCCCGACTCTCACCACACACTCCTCTCGGTGTACAAGTGTATTACAAAATGTATCCTCACAATTAGGCTTAATCACTCAATTGTTACAACTCTCACCAACCCAAATATACTATATATGAAAATACAATAAGCTCAATATGGGTGTGTGTAACAATGAGATAATATAATCAAATCTAAACTCAATATAAAAACTAGCTTTAAAGAAAGATAATCAAATAACTAAGTAAATGTAAAGCTAGATAAGAGTTTAGAAAATTTCTCAATAGATCAAGAGGTGGAGGGAAAATAGTTGGAAGCTCAAACTTCAATAGATGATCTCCTCAAGCTCTTGTGGAATTTTCTTCACAAACAAACTCTTGAAACAAACTTAAAAACCCTTCAACAAACTTGTAAAACTCTTTTTAAAACTCTCTTAAACATCCATAAGAAACAATGAAAGTTGAGAGCTTTTTATACCATCTTAAACCAGCCAAAAACTCCCAAAAACCGAAAATATCAAAAACTAGCCGTTACTAGCCGTTATAGGCTGAAAAGACCAAAATACCCCTAAATTCAGCATTCTGGAAATATACGTATCTGGTTTTGTAAAATCAATTAAAAATAGTAAATCAACTCTAAAAATTATGAAACTTTTAGATAAGGTTCTAAACATGTAGAAGAATATTTTAGAGAAAGAATTTCTAAAAATCATTTCTCATTTGAGAGAAATAAATGTTTGAACACAGATATATAGTTTCTGAAAATCTGCTAACATACACGATTTTGTAAAATCAATTGGGCATAGTAAATCAACTCCAAAAATAGTAAAATTTTGAGGAAAGTTTCTAAACATGTAGATAAACATTTCAAAGAAAGAATTTCTTAAATATCACTTCTCATTTGTGAAAACGTATCTGTTTTGTAAAAACATGCACGAACATGCACGAACGAAAAACATGATTTTGTAAATTCAATTAAACGTAACAAATCAATTTCAAACTTGATGAAACTTTGGGAAATGTTTGCAAATGTGATTTTGAACATGTTACAAAAAAGAATTTTCCAATTTGCATTTCCCAATTGTGGAATCTCATTGTTTTGTAAAATCAGTATGGACTTGTAAAAGCTTGATCTTGATATAATAAGTTTAAACAAAGTTTTGAAAACTTTCCAATAGATTTATAAACTTGATAAAAGATATAAAATAATGTCGTTAAGTCTATAATCCAAAACGACGATAAACTAAACCAAACGTGTGTGTGTGATATTGAGCTTGAAGTATTAACACACATAATATAAGCCCTAAACTAATTTACCTAAGCTTGATTGGTTTTCAATATGCTTGACTTGGTAATCTCGCGGATGAAGCTTGAACTTGATCTTTAACTTTGAATTGCAAGGCTTCACTCCACTATTCCGCCAACCTCCATTGGATATGATCATTGAAGCTCTATTCCATCCATCCTCCAACTACGTTGTTTGTCTATAATAAATAAGAAAACACAAATATTAGACAAACAATATTAGTGATAAATTGTTTGTTAAACATCATCAAAATAAGAAGGCAAACAATCTCCCCCTTTTTGATGATGACAAACAATTTACAAAAGGAAATATATGCATGAAGGAAATGAATATATAATTTATAATTCACATGCATATAAACAATAAAGAATATACTCACAATACTTCTCCCCCTTTGACAACATAAAAAATGGGACAAAAGAATTAAGAGAGCGAAAGCTCCCCCTATCAATAAGCATAGGTGAGTATAAAAACAAATATAGAATAGGGAATAGCTCCCCCTATCAAAATGCCATATAAAATATATGCAATAAAGATCAAGGCAAAACATGTGAGCAAGCATACATGAATATGCTAAATATCACTCACATACAAAAAGATAACGAGAACACATATAAATATGTCAATATGAAAATAGTGTCTCATTAACACAAAAAAAGAAAAACTATGTAAAAATAGGTTTATGAAAACAAA